GCCTTATTCGGAAAATATCTTTAGAAGTGAATGGAATCATCACATTGTCATTTGTTAAACTCCGGCTTTTGCAGGTCCTATGCAACCCATTTGATTTTTGGTGGGCGACGCACGACGGGCGACGCACGACGGGCGACGCACGACCGCAGATATGGAATTTCATACTATATATTCAGGGTAACAGGCCTTGTATACCCTGCAAGAAATGAGACCGAGGGGTACCCCCCAACACGTCCAATCCCTATACACATTCCACACTATTGTTACTTAACACATCCGATCCCCCCAAGATGTCTGAAAGGCGAGACAATGACCAACACAAAGCAGGGGGGGTTCTCTCCGTCTCATACCTTGCTGCACACGAGGCCTTGTGGCATATACTTTTTACAACACTCCAGCCACAGATTTCCTGTGTCCTTTTCACTAAACAACAAAGATCGTTTTACATATAGACCTCTTCACTTAGGATCGGCGACCATTTAGACCCGGTTTGAAACGGGCTCCCGGTAACCCACCCTGTATAATGCCTGCCCGGTATTCAGGCTACTCCAGGCCTGTATCAGCCTGAGGCCTGTCTGCCATTTGCATTTCAAAGTCCTTGATGAAAGGCTTCCCCTACCATGCTTCCACAGTCTAAGCGGATTAGTGTAAACATTGTATAGAGCTGAAGGATTCAAAACCACATGCAGGTTCCTTCTGGGATAAATTACATGCACCAGTACTTGCAAGCAATAGACCCCAGGATGGAGAAGTTCGAGATCATCAACCAGTCCAGCATCCCAGGCCGATGTTCATTGTGCATGTACTGCACGTACATAGCTTACCATTAAACCTGGTCGTAGCTTGAAGTGATATCGAAAGAAATGGTAACTATCCAGTTGTCGTGTTTGGGGTTGTACGACAAGATAAACTGCAGATTCCAAAGAGAAAGGAACCTGGTTCTTCGAATGTCCCAAGTGCAGAAAGCAGCGAATCAAATGGGTACAGTACATGTACACTGAACATCATGCTGCTAAGGCCATTTTTTGTGCATGCATGTATAATTCCTGAACGTAATACCAGTAGTGAAAAGGTCTATTCAACAGCTTCATGGTTGCTGGAATGGCATGCTCTTCTCCCCTTGTCGCTCGCAGCTTGCTGTATTTCCAAACTGAACTATTGAACTGGAACCCCCAAGAAAAGAATCCGGGTTGCAGGCTTCTGTGGTATTCAGGTATTTTGTACTATCAAAAATGACATCTGACCTTCAATAGAAAGGTACCTTGGAAGTCTGATCACCCACTACATTGTCACCATTTTGGGGGTGATACTGAGACACACTGGCTTATTTTTGGATCTATATTGAGCTTCGCTTCAGAAATGTACAAGTTTTAATGCACGTCATAAATCTTATTACATAAAGGCATTTGCATTCTTACCTTCAGCACTAATAAGTTGAGTTGATACATATTAAGGTGATTGATCTCAGTCAAATTGTTTGTTGGTTCTATTCAACTTATTCTCTGTTTTTCTCGTATCGATAATAAAGTTCAGAACGTATTGCCCAATGCATTTTAGGTGCGTTCTTTTTTGTTTGTAATGTAAAGCAACATATATTGACTTAAGGTTACCATTACCTGTAGACGAACAAATACGCTGTAAAAATTTAACACAGACAGCTTTCCGAGGGTTTTGTTTGCTACTTACGCGAAGTAAGAACCGAGTTTTCTCTTCCTGTACAGCATCATAGTCGAAGAGACCTCATTTCTTAGGGGAAAAAATCAAAGAAAATCGACTTATCCTTGAGATTAACAAACAAAGGATGTCAGAGAATTTTCTCACACCAAAGATAGGTAGAGAGTTGCAAATACATGTTCCAGTTTAAAGTAAAATTCACATCAAGCTCTTTGTAAGAACTCTAGTTTCTCTCACATTTGTATTTAGTAAAGTCTATTGTATTCATTTCCACTTTCGCTTTACTTTGTTTTCATTCAATCATTCATGTAAATTTTTCCAGCTCTGTTGAGTAATATGTGCCGATGTAAATTTATTTAGTGTTTGTTCTATTTGTTTTCTATGATACTGAAAAATTATGTTGACTACACTTTTTGTTTTCTTATTTCTATTAATCATGGATCTTTATTCTTTTACTTCAGTTCACAAACCATTTTTTTGTAAAAAAATTTAATTTTTGTTTCATTAATTTTTCTGTTTTTGTTCATTTCAAAGGGAATGTAAGTAGAAAAGTCTTCTTCTTCTAGTTACCACTATACATCATATATAGTAAGTTTGTTCCTTTTTTGCAATAGATCTATTGTTTGGATTTGATTTCAATTTGTGTCTTTTGTACTGAATATTTTCATTGAGTATTTCATTATTTTTACATTTTGGTTTACTCCTTTTATGTCAATTGTTCTTCACGATATTTTTTATTTCTGTTCACAAGTTTTTCATTGTATATAATTTAACATTTGTTCATTTATTCTTGTGTTTTGTTTCAAATGGAATGTAATAAAGATTTCATTGGAAAAGTCTTCTTCTTTGTTTCCTTTCCTCCTTTTATTCACCACTGTCCAGTGATTTCTGAAGAGAAGGTTACCATGTTTGAAACGAGAATATTGTCCAAGGCTTTGACATCCAGATCACACAACATGGACTGTTTCAGTAACAATCCCCAAGATTGCGAAATCGGCAACAGGTTAAGGTGAACGTGTATTCGAAAGAAGCCAATGTCAAACAATAATCTACGCATGGAAATATCTTATACCTTAGGTTCTTTGCTTTGTTGTAACTTAGAGTTTCTTTTTGGAGCCTCTTTTGTAGTTTACAAAGAAAACAAAATCTAATTTCACTTAATCAAACAGAACAAAACCAAAAGAGTAGGATTCGTTCTTGTTTTCAGTTACGAGGGGGTAGTCGGAAGGTAGGCCTATAAAGTTTTGAAGATATCAGCCAGGTTTGATAGAGGAACCTGCTATTTCTGTAAAAAAAAGAGTCGGATCTGTTTCATATTTATAGTTCTTTACATATTTGCCTGCAAAAGAGTGCCCCTTTCGAGACATCACGTGATACATGAAAACAGCAGAAGAACACATAGCTTGAAAACATCCCTGCCTACAAAGCTACGACTTTCAATCTTGTCAGATGTTAGGAAAGCCAGGTGAGAACGATATTATATCCCTTGCCCCTGGCTCATCGGGTTTTGCGCCTCACAGGCACCTGTATCGCCGCATCCACATCGGCAACAAGCACCCCCTCATCAGTTGACAAGAGCCAGGTTGGTGGGAGTATGTTTATTTCGCTGGTAGCGACGCTGCAGTAGCCAGTACATTGCGTGGTAGTTCGTGAGCCAGTGAAGTACAGTTCTCACCAAATAAGCCTGAGCTGCCAGGAAAATTGTGCCCTCTTTTGGTCCAGCTTGGGGTTCACAGCGAGATTATTTTACCTGTTCGTGACTATTTGCGGAACTAGGAACATAACAGTACCAAAAAGAAATAAGTAAACCTTACCTCACAGTTGTTGTAAATTAAAAATCTTTAACTAACTGTTTCTGTTACAGAAAAGTATTATGGAAAGGGAATAAATATGTGCTTGGCCGGATGTGACTCAGGACATTCAACGGAAAACGAGAATCAGCCAGTACATATTTATTTCCTTGCATTTAAATCTATGACTTACTTGCATGTGTTTCAAAACATGATTCCTGCAATTGGTTATGGTATCTCTGCAGATGTAAACTGGGAAATAAGACATGAAATTTGACACCAGGGTTTTAAATTTGCCCGTGGCAATTTAGTTTTTTCCGAGGCGTATTTCCTAATCCTAGTTTCCAGTTGGTGGAAATAACTACTTGCAATTGCTGGCTTGACTTGACTTGGCATCGCATGGCCAGTTAAGTGACCGTGGCGACCAACTCTCTATAGGCCTGTCGGTTTGTAGCCAGGTCCATCAAGTGGTGTAGTGGTCGGATCTGGTCGACCTGCCGCACCCAGGTAAGTCGGGGGTTGTCGACGGGAACGGCGCCTGTCGTGTGGTGGAGGCCTGCCGGCAGCTAGCAGGGTCTGCTGTGCAGGGACTCCTTCTTGGAGCCGGGCAACGTGGCAAAGAAGCTGTAGATTCCTCCTCTGGATAGTAGTGCTCACAGGAGGGGGGGGGTTGCCGGCATGTCTATAAACTTGCTCGTTGTTGATGAAGGCATGCCAGTGAATCCCAAGGACGGTGCGGAGACAGGTCCTGTGAAAGGCGTCACCCTCCCTGGCGAGGGCAGCTGTCAGTGTCCAGGTCTCACCGCAGTACATATAGGACTGGGAGAACGGTGGAGTCCAGGAGGTGGAGCTTGGTCGTGGTTTTAAACTTGGTGCTGTGCCAGATCGGAGACATCTTCCCAAATGCCCCTCCAGCGAGCTGCAGACGCCGTAGGACTTCTGCCTCAGCACAACAATTGAGCCAGGTACACGAACTCCTTGACTGCTTCAATTAACATCCTGAGTGCCGATAGGAAGGGAGGTGGGTAGAGGCTGGGAAGAATCCGAGAGTGACTGGATCTTTGCTTTTGCCTAGTTCATGGTGAGGCAGAGTGGTGAAGCTCCCACGGAGAGCACGCCGAGGGCCTCAGCAATAGTATCTAAGAGCTCTGCAAAGATTACTACATCATCAGCATCAGCTGACATCAAGGTTTGGGAACCGCTCTAGAGACTTGCAGAGCCAGTAATCCACACCAACACTGAACAGGTTCGGGGAGGCCACACCTGTTGTACACCGGAGGTGGTGAGAACGGTCTCTGATAGAGCTTCGCCTGCAGTGACTCTGCGCGAGGTATTGGAGTACAGTGCCTGGAGAAGCCTGATATACTTTGGAGGGACTCCAATTTCCCTACATCAGGAGCCAGAGAGCGTCTCGACCAAGGGAATCGAACGCAGCCTTCAGATCTATGTAGGCTACTATAATGGGACGCTGGAATTCCCACAGCTGCTCTGACAGGACTCGCAAGGCTAAGACACTATCGATAGTGGATGTACATGGGGTGAACCCTGCTTGCTGGGGGCGCCGCCTGGACTGAAGGAGAGGCCAGATTCGCTGGAGGATTAGAGGGGTGCCTGCCTTTTAGGGAATGGAGAGGAGTGTAATTGGGAAATGGTTAGCCGAACTCCCAACGTCTCCTTTGTTCTTATAGAGGGATATTATAATTCCTTCCCTCCATTTAGGTGGGACAATCTCTAATTCCCAGATTCTACCACAGAGGTTGGTCAGCCTGGGTGCCACTTTGTCCAAAGAGGCCTTCAGCATACCAGCGGTGATTCCGTCTGTATGGAGCCCAACCAGAAGTCAGCTTCTTGGGCTTTTTTGACTTCGATTGTAGAGGGTGGATCCAATGACACAGTCGCATGTGGGGAACCTGAGCTGGCGAAGTCTTGCAGGCTGAGGAATGGTGGAGGCGGAGTGTTCAGGGCAGCGGAGTAGTGCTCGCACCAGCGGGTTGGTTTCGCGGACGCCTCTGTCGAGATGCAGCATCTGTCCCTAGCAGAGTATAGGTGTGGCGTCGTTGATGCGATGAGTAGAGTTCCTTTATGCACTTGTGGGCAGAACTCATGTTGCCATTCTCGGCAGAGCTGGTTGTCCCCTCAGGCCATTGTGAGCGATCTTCTCACAGCTTCCTACAACACTGTCTGGCAACATCTCGGTGTGCTTCTCTGTCGCCCCTCGATCTGATTTTACGGCAGTGTTCTACCTGGTCCGATGTAGCTGCAGTGATCCATGGTGGTTCTCTTTGCAACGTTTCCCAAGAGCAGTCGTTGCCGGTGAAATCAAGGTGGAGCCGAGTTGAGACCAATCCTCTTCCGTGGATGATGGCTCATCGAGAGCACCAAACCTGTTCTCTCTCAAATTCTTGTCTTCCTCTCAGTTGTTCCGATTTCAGCTCTTCAAGTTTCTGCTTTGCCTTTGCCTCTCGCAGCTGGATGGTCGAAGACGGCGCTCAAAGAACTCCGCCGTGATGTTTTTGACAATGCTCGGACCTCAGCAACCTCAGGGTTCATGGGGGTTGCCTGCCCTCCACGTTATGTACCCACTCACTAACTTGATGAACAAATCCCCATCATCATTAGCTTCTCGCTGTACCTCGGGCCAAGTTACCAACATAGCCGGTGCATGATCTCTTAAGTGCTGCAGTGTCTATTTCTTGGTATTCGTGTGCCTCTTCAGAAGTTATCTCTGTCGTGAATATTCTATGTAGGCCCAAAGTCCCGCAAAAGGAAAATAAAATTCCACCCTGGAACTCAATATCTGAAGTCACCAGTCAAACTTCTGCTTTATTCGCTGACTATCAACTGTACAATAACAGAACTTAGCAGCTTGAAGTTGAACACATATGTAGATTGATGGACGGATCTGATGATAGGTTCACTACAAACAAATGAGAAAATCATTACATGGATAAGTAAGCTTACAATATTTTACCCCCGTAAACGTGTGTATGTACACTGCATGTGGTTACGACGTGTAATTACAACAGACCCCGTGGCAAACTGGAGTGGCGATACATATGAAAACTTCCCAGTTAACAACCCCACAAATATCCCTTTCACCTCAATGTATGAGAGCATGCAGACCAGTATAATGATAAAATAGGATTTTGTTCCTACTGACGCTTGTGAAATATTCAAGAAACTTAATTGGTCATCCCTTGAGACACGACGTAAATCCATGATGTTCAAGGTAATCAACAAGTTAGTCGCGGATGTTCGGTCTGATGGTATCGTCACTCTAAGTATCAGAATCTCCAGGGGTCATAAAAAAAAAGAACAAAAAAAAAAAAAAGAAAAAAGAAAAGAAAAGAAAAAAAGAAAATTGCAAATCTGTACTCGCACCAAGGTTTGTGACAACACCTTCTTCCCCAGAACAGCTATAGGGATTGGAACAACTTGCCACAATCTGTGGTCAATGCAACATCTGTGTCAGCTTTCAAGGAGGCAGCCGGGCAATTGTTTTCTTTGATGGGTTAGTTTAAATTAGCGTCCGTCCCCAAACGCGAGGTGCAAACTTAATACAGTTGTCCCCTGGATACTATTATATTATGAGCGTTCAATGCGGCAAGCTTGCACACACAGGGCGTACATGTATGGCGCGCACTCAATACCCGTCCGCATTTTTTATTTTCATAATTTTTAATTTTTATTTATTTATTTATTTATTTTTTGACACAGAATATTCTGGAAACTAGACTTTTTTTCAAAGTGAAGTAAATTCCGACATATCAACTCGGAAAACTATCATAAAACCAGTCTCCCTTTGAAAAGTACATGTACACAGCGTATCCCCAAAGAATTGTGTTGGCCCTAAGCCTATTTAAAAAAAAAAACACACACACACAAAATACTCCAGATTATCGGAAAAGAAAGGAGACTGATTTACGCGCAAATTTTCACATAGATTTAAGTTTATTGATGACAAGTCCATTTCGAAAACAAATAAGATGGTATCTGTTGCTGACTTGGAATGAAGCGAAAGGAAAATGTGTAAATGTGTAAACGGCAGAGAAATGAGGCACTCTTCTGTAATAGGGCGTGTAACCAGTCTACTTTTTTGTTCCCTTAATATGTCGTACCGCCCTCTCGTGTCTGATACTTCTGCACGTGGGAGATACGTACGAGTACGCGTTGCAACGTTCGCGTGCATGCTTTCGCTTACAATTTACAAGGACGCACACAGAGACACACACGATGGGCCGACCAGGTTTGAGAATTTTGTAAATTTTTCAATAGATATGAACATGACATGGACACTTATTTGGCAATTAAAGGACCGTATTATGTAGAATTGTTAAGCTTGAGATAGGGAGGGTAGACGGTCATTTTCGTTGAGAGGTCTGTTTCAAAAGTTTAAGTCTTGGGTCTAGACCCGTAAACAGGGCCCTACATCATGTAGGACCTACATGTACTCCGTCATAAATGGGCCCTGTTCCGATTGATAGTGATTTCTTTCGATTACGTTTATCCGGGATGTCTGGGGATATTATCAGACATCTGCTGAATCTTATGAGCTGAAATTGCACTGGTATGTTCACTGTGTACGCTGCTAACTATCCCCTAGGTTGCTATTTTGCAGAAAACTCGCCTTTCTCTCGTTTGGAGGGAAAAATGTTGCCTTCACGTCAGTTGGCATTTTCCTCACTCCTGCCACTCCGAACAAATTTTGGCCCAACTTGCATAAAACTGATGGCTATGTCGTATCACATAACAGAGAGCAAGCCGCTTTACATGTTCAACGATTCACGGCAAGCAGTGTTTGACTGGACAGGGAATTAGCCAAGGGCATTGTGTATAGCTGTGACACAAAACGGAATCAGGTCAAGTCGTACCTGCAACAACTTTTACCCAGGTCAACTTGTACCCCCAAACTCCCGCCAAAGTCAACTCATACCCAGGTCATCTTGCACTCATGTCAACTCATACCCAGGACCACTCGTACTCCAAATGTGAGAATAGTGCTGCAGCCGAACCGCCAAACTGAACCGAAAATGGTCTAACATTGCACTTTCGAACCGGACCTAACCAAACTGGTCGGTCCGGATGTTCAGTTTTAATATGGCCATGACATTTGCAGCGCACGGAATGCACGCAAAAAAACATGATAAAAAAGCAAACACAATAAAAAATGGATAACGAGTTGTGCCGCACCGGTGCCGCTCCATGGTTCGGCACAAGTGCTATAAACTAACTGTACAGAACAGTACGTACATTTAGAGTTAACTTACGATGGCCCTGCATCACGCGATGGTTGTAAAAAGCATGTGGTGAGATTTCACCAATAATCAACTAAGAACAAGCAACATACGGCATTTCCAGTGCACAACAACAATTGTAAATACTTACTACATCCAATCGTGCTTGTGTATATTCAAGTTTAGCATTATGTTTGCCAGTTTCCAGTAGCCATGCCCTTACGTTCCATATTAGGCCAATGATGTCATAAATGGCCGTGCAAAAATTTTGATTGGATACTGATCAGAGTAGGACTCGTGCTCGATCAAAGGCAACTCCGGAAGGAAAACTGAATTTGCCAGGCGGGCCGTGCCAGTGCAGCGCTCCGGTGCATGACTAGATTTGGTTCGCGGGGTGGCCCAACTTACGAGGATTTTTTTAAGTGAAGGAGAGGATTGTTTGACGTAATTAATCAATTAAAATTAATTAAAAAGTTGATTCTTTGCAAGCAAAGTAGCCATTGGTAGGATTATCCACTGTTTACAATAATACATGCACGGATAGAAATTGACTGGGGCACGACTTGACAGGGGTACAAGTTGTCCCAGGTACGAGACGACCCAGATTCACACAAAACTGCCGTAATTTTCTACTTGGATTGAGAGGGACTCTCGGTAAGATCTGGCAGATGTCTGATAATATACCCAGGCATCCCATATAAACTTGATTGAAATAAATCACTATCAATCGGGACAGGGCCCAGTATTGGGACAGGGCCGTGTTCACAGGTCTGTTTTAGGTCTCGAGTTTCTAAGCCTGCACTCGTCCTATTCTTACGTGACTTGTTACTCAACCGTTGTCAACATGCGCCTTGTACTCTTGTTACCTCTATGCTGGTAGTGTTAGGCCGCCAAGTCGAAAAACTTTGAAAAATCTGGCGATAGTTTATGTTTCTGCCAAACCACCCTCACAGATGTTTCTGTCACACTTTCATTCTTACATTGTAATTCAATACACTGTTATAATGCACATGTGAGACAGTAACAATTTATCCCTGTAGCCTGTGATTGCCATTTATGTTACTTTGAATGCAGTCTTGTTGTTTTGTTTTTGATTGTAATTGTAATCTTGATGAATATAATAACTTACTCTCTCACATCACTTTGTAACAAGCCAATGGGAAGTACATTTCTATGTAAATTTTGCATGGACATTAACAAACTTGAATCTCTGAATCTATTCTAAGAAGTAAACAGCATTTTTTTGTAAAAGGCAGCCATGGGTGTTTTCTCCTGCTGAATCCAATTATGGTATTAAAAGGACACCCAGATCCCTAGGCATCCCTCTTGTCTCACACAGACTGTACATTTGTAATTTTTTTTCTTCTTCTTTGCTTTGATTTCCTTGTGAAGGTTTTTCAGGATTTTCTCCAAGAGGCGGAGGCTTCAACAGCAGAGGGGGTGGAGGCAGAGGGGGCGGTTTCCGCGGGGGCGGGGGAGGAGAGAGAGGAGGCTTCCGAGGGGGTCGTGGCCGCGGCGGCGGACGGGGAGGCTCCAGAGGGGGTAAGTAGAGAACTCCTTGACAAACAAGTTTTCCCTTTGCCTGAAAGAGAATTTAATACAGGAGAGTCACAGGGCAGTGCGCCACCAAGAGGTTGCCATGGAAAAGTCCATTCTTGCAATGCATTGTGGGAATGGTGAATAAATTCTATTCACCAGCTGGAAGTGGGGAACTATTCCCAATATTTGTCAGGGAAGAAGGAGTGGTTTTAATTAATCATTTCTTCTTTCTATTGCATGGAATGCGCCAATCTAGTAAAAACAAATTCCCAAGTTCTCTACTGACACACACTCAAATGCCAGTTGCATCAAAGGGGCAATGCTTCGGACGACCGTAAACTTAAAAACATTTCTGTCCGTGGCAACCTCTTGGTGGAGCATCGCACTAAGAATTGTCCTGATTTATGTAAAATTAGTCCAAACAAAAAACCAATTCAAGAAGATGAGAATTTTGTTGGTCTTTCTTTTTTTGGAGAAGCCGTTACATGTTTAGAGTTTGGAAGAAAACTCCGGAAGATTGTGGGTAAAACCCAAAGAATCGGGTAGGGATCTAAAAGCCCAATCAAACCTGAGGTCAAAGGTGAAGATAGCCACAAAAACCAACCTGACTTCCCTTAAAAGTGAATAATTGCATTGAGACTTGCATAACAATTTAGCATACGGTAATCGAATATTATTTTCTGAATTTGAATATTTGAATGGAAGATTCATGAAAAGAAAGGATATTTTTATTTTGTTTTAAAGGAGAAAACTTGCTCTGTGGAGGCATGTTTCAAGCAAATTCAAATGAAAAGCCACAGAAATCTTACGACGACTCAAAAAGTAAATTATTCAGTAACCCTATCAGTCCCAAATCGTCCGATTTCAATATGATTTTACATTCATCCTAGGGGGTAGGTGTAAGAAGTTTCAAAGAAATAGAAATTTTCAGCTGGGCAAGAAGTATTGTTTGTCTCGTAAATCTTGCTAAATCGTGGCTGGAGATACTCATGGTAGATGTGAGAAGGTTTTCTGGTGATCATAATGTACAATTGTGTGCGTCATTGCAACTGATTTTATATATGGTTTGTTCATCAACAATCTGCCAGTCTGTACAACCGAATATTTGGATGTTCGATCAAATGGAGGGTTGAATATATGAATACTGAATCATTCAAATTAACTCGGCCCTAACGTACGAAAAACAAATCAGTTAAATGTTTATCAAAACTAAAGCTAAAAACAAAAGAGCTATTTAATCAGTCAAAAACGTAATCATGAATTTGCCGAACATTATACATGGAAGTGATCGCCGCATTTTGACTTATTTTCTCCAGGGTTCACCCCAAGAGGTAGAGGCGGACCGAGAGGAGGAAGAGGTAAGTCAAAGGTTGTGAGGTCAAAGGTCACAACAGGAAAGATGACATTTGGCCGTCAGGAGTATTTCAGTATTTTTGTTTTTCAGTGTAACAGGAAGCACAACTATTATTTTGTACGTCAGTTCGTGGCGTGGCCGACGATATTATATATAAGATACTCAGAATGGAACTTGACTGTTTGAGGCATGGTGAACACAATTGGAAGTTTACTCCCTTCAAATGGTGCCCTCCTGTTGTGTCCGCCACCTGCCACTAAGGCTACATTTCTGGCATGGACTTTTCACCCCAGGTGGGCGAGGGGGCGGGATGAGAGGCGGCAAGAAGGTCTTTGTAGAGCCGCATCGGTTGGAGGGAGTCTTCATCGCCCGCGGCAAGGAGGACGCCCTGGTCACCAGGAACCTGGTGCCCGGGGAGACGGTGTACGGGGAGAAGAAGATCGCTGCTGAGGTATAATCAGAGGTTCCAGCCTGTCGCAGTCCTTCCTGGGGTCAGGCAGTACCACGCTATAGATTCAAATGAGCCCTCACTTCATTTAAAAATCCTAGTCTATTATGGGGTGATGCCTGACCTCAGCAAGGGGTACCACAGGTTGGCAGGTATGCATTATGGTAGCCGTCGCTGCGACTGCCTTGAATGACATCCCGTTTGTGCTCATACATATGCACATCGCCAATTAGCATAAAACAAATCAAGCACCAAAATGGAGTGGTGCACTTTTTAAAAAATGAAAGGCACTGTTGCATTGAGCAAGGCTGCAGACAGTCCACTAGAGTTGGTTCGCTGCTTTTTGACAAAAACGTGGAAAGGTCTTTTAATTTTTGTCTTGGTTGCATTCCAGGTCAGGAAGTTATTAAAATTGTCAAAATGCCACAGTTTTGGAGGAAATCCCAAGCCTTTATGAGGACCAGTTTTATGAGGACCATTTTAAATCAAATCTGGTATATCTGAAAAAAGTTACACTTTTGCATTCTGTTTTCTCTTGGCTTTGCCTATGGAGAAGCAGAATGCTCCATGGATCAACGCTGGAGGCTAGTTGTCATTACACCACTCAATGCAGTTAACCCCTTGACGACGGGAATTTCTTCCTGAAAGCCCACTCCAAGAATTCCAGCCTCGTTTGGCCACGAAGGCCACCTGCCAAACCGCAAATTCTCGGTTTGTGGCCCAGCGTGCTCTCCACGCTTTGAATAACACGGTGAAAAGGCTGATTGTTCGGTGGCATGCGGCTCTACTCACCCTTCCACATTCCCGTTGCC